GTCTGTGCTTCCCGTAAGCAATGAGTTGATCGACTAATTTGGTGTACTCTGTGATATACTCGGAGACAGTCCCTGTCTGACGAATATTAAACAACTGACGGATTAATAGCTCATGCTGATCTTCGCCGAAGCGTTCCAGTACCATGTGACAGAACGTTTGCCAAGATGCAACACGCACGCTAGCCTCTACTGACTGCAACCACAGCTCGGCTGCCCAGACATCTGACTACTGGCAACACGAATCCACATGTATTGTTCAATCGAGTACATCTCAAAGTGATCTTCACAGCGGGACAACCAAAGCTTGGGATTAGTACCGGTGAATCCATTTTGGGGAGGCGCCCTAAAGGATTGTTGTTGTGGTGTTCCCGATCCCAGTGATGTGGTTGTGTGATGTTGTTCCCTTCCCCACGCAAATCGAACATGCGATGATTGCTGGTGGTTAATTGCGGCTGTGGTTTGATTTCCTTCCCCTCACGGTGCTCAAACTGGTGATGATTGAAAGTGAACAGGGAGGGATGGGAAGCAGGACGCGGTAGAGGTTGGGTGGAAGAGGAAGGTTGCGTACCCTTGACCGGGAGTGGGGTTTGAATCCCAGATTCCTGGTGGTGTAGTTTGACACGGTGCCCATTAGGGCCGATGACCGGATTACCGGCAGGTGAGGATGCCGCAGTCGCTCCAACACGGTTGAAGACGCCTGCCGATGCAGCGGGGTCACCATAGAGCACCACTTGATGGAAGGTCTTGCGCATCGCCCCCATCTCCATGCAGATGTCGTCGATGGTGGCGTCGATGCGCGGCTTCCAATCGTCGAACACCTTGGCGGCGTTCTCCATGTCGACGAAGCGATCCGCCAGCTTCTGCCCCACCGCCGTGATGCGGTCCAAGAGCGAGACTTGCAGACCCAAGACATCACCGCGAACGCCCTTGATCTGATTGTTCATGTCGCAGCGAAGGGACTTCAATTCATCCAGAACAAGCTTGAAATTGGGTTCCATCGCTCCCAGCTCTCGGCGGAAACGGGTGAAGTGGTCGTGGTGGATGGAGTGGGGTTCCAAATTGCTATGGTGGTGAGTTCTTCTACCGACCAAATCAACCTCGGATCGGACTTAAGAGACCACACGAACTTCACCCAAAGATGAAGACAGAGATCCATCAGGTGATGGGGATTACGATTCCAGATCAAGGTAGAAGAAGTCGAGGGGGAAATAGGCCAAGGATCGGTAGTCTCTGATACCAATTTTGTCAACAACACACTCAGATAGAGAGGGATCGAGAGGGAGCAACAGCAATAGGACGAGGAACAGAGGACGAGTTCTTCATAGAGTTTGGGGAATGGTTCACAATTTCATCGATGACCTTACACAGCGCTCAGCGCTCCCTTTTAGCCGCATGCAGGCGGAGCGGTAGGCAGCCAAGTCGACTACGCCTCCTGGGTGGACTGGACCCAAGATGGGCCGGACGTCTTCGGGTTGGCCTTCCTTGCACGACGCGGCTTGGACACGGACGGCCCATCTGGCTTGCTTGAGGTCACGCCGTCTTCATCAGGTTTAGAGATAACCAGCTTCATCAGGCGTAACACAGTGCAGTGATAATTAAAGCTGACATGCTTGTAGAATCGGTAGGTTTAGAGATACCCTACATTTATCGTTTTTTTTTTTGTTTGGGCGCCAAGAAGAGGATGGACTCACAGGATTTGCAGTTCTGTAGTGTATGTAAGAATTTTACAATGAGAGGTACATGATTGAATTGGTGATCCTCCGATCCTCTATATATAATCCCAACATTTATTGTACTTGCATGATTAGAGTTTGAGTGACTGAAACCCATTAGTGCATAAATGCTGTGATTATTATGGGGCTCATTCCTAGATCTGATGTGCAACACGAATGTATCCAATGACTTTTCCATGATAGTAAGCTGCAAATATAAATGGAAATTATTTGGGTTGGGGAGTAGTAGCAGCAGCTCTTGCATATCCTCTTTTCTGATCCCAAACAGATCTATGGTCCCGATATAACTCGTAGACACCTTTAAGGGAGCATGCAAACAACATGTGTGCACCAGTCTCCAACTGATGATGTGAAATATTAGATCGATTCACAAGGTTTCTAATGCATGGCTGGCCTTCGTTTCCATGTTGTAGAAACAAGCTTCGGGAATCAAGGAATGCCGTATCATCAGCTGACATCTCTGATGAAGTCCAGCTCGGGGTCCCTGGAGAGGCATTCAACGTCAGCCAGTGCCAGAACAAGGTGGCTGTTGCTGAGGGTGCCGGTAATGTTTCAGCTGTCGAACAATTCATCCGTCAACATGTGAAGGCGTAGATCGTTCTCATTGTTCACCTGATGTGAGGCAAGATGTCCATTGCATATACCTTCATCAGGTCCTCTGACGATGTTTAGAGGCACAATCATATTCTGCACCGCTTCAGCTAACCCTTTTTAGAGGCATTACATGTTGATTGCTAATTAACGCTTGACAATCATCGGGTATGAATAGAGTCAATTAAGAACTGTCTCTGGCCATGGTGGTTTCGGTAGACGCTTCTCTGATTTTTACTACTCTCTGTTCTAAACTCTGGTTGTAGTTGCAAGCAAAAGTCTGGATCTGATCAAAAGCATCGGATATTCATAGAGCCTGTTAAGAACTGTCTCTGTGTTTTTTTGGAAGCAACTGTTTTATATGGCGAGACACTGTAAGACAGGCCTCACCTTTCGGAAGCAGAACACGGAAGGCAATTGGATAGCTCATGGGGTAGTTTGCAAAAAGGAAAAGGAGAAATTGTATAGTTCAAAACCCATATGGTTCTGCATCAACATTCTTTTCCAGTTTCATCATCTACAAAAGGTTCTGATATTCCATCCCAGGATCTATTTGAATTGTAGCTGCAACTATTCTCGCCGTGTATGTTTTGAGAAAGTCCATGGTAGGATCATGCATCAATATGAATTTCGGTTCCTCAAACTGCACTCTGCTTGCGAGCGATGATGGACCAAAAAATAAAAAAGATTGTTGTTTTAGGAATCGGATGGGATGGATCGGGTCTATAGCTAAAATTCAGGTTCTGATAAAAGGTTTAGCTAGATTGACACTAGGGACCCCCACAACCCCCCTCTTCAATCCCCAGCACTTGTTGCCTCCTTATATCTTCATCTCCATGGTCTTCATGCTGGCCATCTCCCTTCGATCCCCTCCTTCCTCCTTGTGCTCTTGGGTGGATTCTAGAGAGAGAGAGAGAGAGAGAGAGGGATGAGGTAGAGAGAGTGGAGATGAGAGTGTGGGAGTGCTCCTGGTTACACTCCACGAAATGGGGACAAGTTTTGCTAACAGGTGGGGCCAGAGGTGCCCAAATATGGACAGCTCACTTCTGTGCATGCATTGATCTGCCTGACTGTCTGGATAGACACCGAAGTGGCTGCGGGAAACATGACCCCACGGACTGTCGGGTTGTGCACCGGACTATCTAAGGAAACATGACAGTGCCTAAGAAAGTATAGTTTTGTGCATATGCAAGTTTCAAAATGAACTTAAAAATTGCAGATGATGCTCATGATGTTGATGAAAGTGATCTAGTCATGATCGGGTCATGACACGACTTTCACTATTTTAGTATATTTGGAGTCTTATAAAAAAAGTCATCTTATTTCTGATTTATGTGAACAAATTATTATATGTTAGTGGACTTTAGAAACATCCCAACCCTTTCTCAGTCTCTACCTCCATGTTTACTATATTAAGAAAAGACCGTAAGTAAATGGCTCCCAATACATTTTGTGGAAGCTATATTATTTATTAAATTGCCAACATGGATTACAAGACAAGAAACTCTACTAGGAACACATTTATTCTTCTGTTATCCTTCCTCCTTTCACCAATCCTCATGGATAAGGCATTAGTGTTGATAGCGATAGTGGTGGTTGCACTGTCCAACCTGATAAAGATATAGTACGAATTGTATTGTATTATTCACATTTTGAAATAGAAATGTAAAATAAAGAGTAATTCTCACTAGATATTAGTATAATATCATAGGTTTTTAATCGAGTAAAAAGAACTTCCATAGCACTAGTTACTTACTTCCACATTTAGTTCCAACAGGCAATGGCTTGCCACAATCTCGAGCAAGACGGACAAGCTTAATGATGCTTATCATAAGTTCATCCGCAGGCTTGAGTATGTGACAGATACAAACCATGTCTGCAGCTTCAACAAGTTGACGACATGTGTCAGTTGGGGGTTCGTATTTGCCATGAAGTTTGATGCTATTGATGCATAACCTCTTTATCCAATCTTTATGCTCATAACAATCCCCCTCACCACAAGCTCGAGGTGTTGCAAACAAGATAAAAACTAAAGCAAGAACCATGAGTCGAAAATTTGCATTTTTTACCATCATGTGGAAGTTATGTGTTGAAGGCACCAAGGCCTAGTACTACTGCAAAGTATAACTATACCGCCCCTTTGAGTGTACCTTGTTGGTTCAACTACACCTATTTATAGCCTACAAGAATGAGTGGTTTAGTATGAATCAATGCTAAGGTATCGGCTAGTTTTGGCAAGGAAACTAAATAGATGCCTTAAAAGAACACATTAAATGGTTAGCAATCTTGTGAAACAAAATAAATACATAAACCACAAATGAAGTATTTAGCAGGTAGGCACATAACACTAATGGATCTCAGGATCTCATTTATTAGATATGCTATACCACTAAGGTTGATTGGAAAACATTAGACACGAGTATTAATGAACATATAAATTTTCAAATATCCATCAACAGGTAGGCATTCAACATTGATATGCTTCATTTAATATTGACATATCAAGTCCTTAACCAACATAATTTTTCAAATATCCATGAACTAGAAGGGATTCAGCATTGATGAGCCTTAATCTTGATATGTCAGTTCCCCAAACTAGGAGTACATTAATAGTTTTAAAGTAGAATAGAGAAAAATAAATGCTCAAAACATTTGAGCAAACATAACAATACTACATTAACGTTGCCTCAATGACATTACCGCATCTTTCCAGCTAGTTCCCTCAGAGAAGAAAGCATTGAGGTCGATCTTCTCTAAGACTTTCTTCCTCGCCGCCTCAACTCCTTGGCTATGCGCAAGCCGGTCTTCGGCCTGCTGCTGCCGATCCTGCTGCGGGGCGCTGCTGCACTGAGCTTGTTCCTGCTCGTTCGCCGGCACCGCGCGCTTGCGCTCCTTCCTTGGTCTCTTGGGCCTGTACTGACCGAACTTCTCCTCCAATTCCTGGGGGCTCCGATGATGCTTAAACGCTTCAAGTCTCCTGAACAGAGATTGTTGAGAACACAAGAGTGAGTACAAATTACGAGTACGATAGTGCGCTCGCCGTTAGTATGAAAAATATGAAATGGCTACCTGGATACTTCCTCCCAGAGTCCCACCTTCCCAACCGCGTTGGCGAGCCGGAAGGTTTCATCCATGCTGTCTCTGATGTTGTAGAACAGCTGCGTCTCTTCATCGCTGAAGGGTTTTGGTGATGAGCTCTGCTGCCCCGGGTCCATTTCGAGGACTTACTTGACTGACCGGGAAGTAGCTCTCTACCACTGCATGATGAGAAGGGAATACCTATTAGGCTTCGCATGAGCTGAAGAGACTTGGTGAGTACCAGTAGTAATAGCAATGAAAAAAACCATAAGCACTATCGAGTATCCACACCAGGAAGATGAACTTGCATGTCAGTTACTATAAACATGAAAGTCAAAATCTGAACCGGCTTTACCATGAACTCTGAACACCTTTAAAAGTGAAAGTAAAGCCCCTTAAGTTCTTTGAATGCAATGCGTTTTGGGAAATGTTGGCTACAATTTGGACACAGAAAGTGTTTGCTGCGGTTTCTGTCAAACTGCCTTCAAATATTGATTAGCATGGCGTTCTCGCATTGCTCGGAATAATTTAAGAAGGCTTTTCAAAAGGTGCCTTCAAATTTCCTAGAACACCATCAAATGCTGCTCCTCTGAGAAACACATTCAGAACTGAGTCATCGAGGCAGAGTTAGCTAGCAGTATAAAAATCTACAGATGCAATCACACCCGAATTATCCAAATACAAGGCTCAATTTCGATATTTGCAAAGAAGCACAATTGAATCTAGTTTCTCTGCCAAGATAGGTACCTGCCTTTTGTTTTTCGTTTGATATGTTTGGTGTTTCTACGGTGGTTGGAAGGTGGCAAACCTATGCTGAAATGCTGTGGTGTAAGCTGGCTGACCCCACAGCATGAAACATTTTAAGGTTTCAACAAAAGCTAATAAACAAATTGGTCTTTGGTCTAATGGAAGACAGCCATGATACTTACTAGTCTTCAGGATATACTCTAGTCTCTAGGTAACATTCTAGGCGCTCTAGGTACAGACAGAAATAGATCATACCAAAATCTCGAAGCAGATACAGACATCTAGAAGCTACTAGTGCACTGCTCACCAAATGACCAAAGTACATAAAAAGTTGAGAGATTTTAGCAGAACTATACATAAAAAGATGAGAGATCAAAGACTGAATCCGGAGCACAAAATAGTGTACTATCGTAGGAAAATTGAGCAATGTGCATAACACAATCAGAACTAATAAGTCTATACTCTTATTTAGTAGTAAAACTACTATTTAGTAGTAGTAATACTACTACTACTACTACTACTACTACTGCTGCTGCTGCTGCTGCTGCTGCTACTCAGAAGTCAGAATCTCATGTTAATCAAGATGTGGGAAGAAAACACGTACATGCACGCACATTCACATGGCTTGTGTGTAGCGTGCATATCGTATTGTATTATGGCAAATGAAAATAATTGTGCTTGTTCAGATCAGTTAGACATATGAGAAAATCCATGCTCTAAGGTGACAACTAAAATCAATTTAGACCTCGCTCAAGAGCAACTTCCTTGATCAGTGTATATTTAACTAATGTCTTGCACTCGAAGGGTACTGATCAAACTTGGCCCTAATGGTAATTAGGTAACACGCCCTTTATATATTTAGCTCATATTATTCAGACAGCAAGGTGAATAGAACAATTCAGCTACGGTTTTATTAGAATATATGGGTCGTCGTAGCAGTAAGCAGGTAGCAGTCGTCTGGGACAACGCAGCAAGACCGTGCGTACCTTGACGATCGTCGCGTAGGCCGGGGCTTGATGGGAGCCGCAGTTGAAGAATCGTTGAGGGGCTCGATCGGCGACGGCGTCACGGCTAGGTGCAGCAGCCAGGGGGATCGGAGCTGTGTTGAGGGGCTCGATCGGCGTAGAAGCTCAGCGCGACCGTGGTTGACGTGCTTCGAGGTAGGCGGCTGCGTCGTGGCGGTGCCCGACGTACGGCAGAGTAGGTCCGCGGCAGCGAGAGCGAGCTCACGAGCCCTAAGTAAGGAACTAGCATTCACCTCAGCTACCGGCCGGCGATCCTCACTATACCCCGCTAATTTTCCTCCTCTAATCCATACCGGCAGTGAGCTTCGGCGCCTAGGTGCTGTACAGGAGAAGCGGCGGCGGCGGTGACCGGGATGGAGTAGACGAGTCGTCCTCCTCAGGTGGGCTGGTGGCGTTGCCAGTTGAGATGTCTTATATGGGCCAAGTAAATTAAGGAGGCAAGGAGAGCCCAGTTGGCTTGGCTAGCCTAGCAGCCTACTTTAGAATGGCTGGCGGGCTTCCTGTTGGAAATCTGAACGGAATATATATATAAGCGCCATTGGCAACTTTGTACGGAGTCTCGGGTGCACTAGAGTACGCCGGCATGGATTGCGCCGTCTTTAGGTGTTGTTAAATCAATGTCGGCGCGGCTTTATTCAAGAACACATTCACAGTTTCAGCGGCAGCAATAGCAGATGAGGATGGTCGATTTATGGACACCGGTCCTTCAGGGAATTGTCGACTCAGAGGTGATAGAATCCATTACATGCAGAGAAGGAATGGCTCTCGCTTCAGATCTAATTATCGACTCAGAGGTGATGGAATCCATTGCATGCAGAGAAGGGGATGGCTTTCGCTTCAGGCCTACGAGCTGAAATCCTTCGGGGAATTGTCGACTCAGAGGTGATGGAATCCATTGCATGCAGAGAAGGGATGGCTCTCGTTTCAAACCTACGAGCTTGCTCTTGCTTCAGACCTACGAGCTGACAGTTTTAGGTTAGCCAGTGACTATCTGAATATCGTGAAGAGTATCCAACAAGAAGACCTCGAAATCTATGGACAGGTTATCTAAGAGGTCAATGCGAGGAAGGCATCTTTTAGAAGTGTCGAGTTTGTACATGAGCGTAGGGGCTCAAATACAGATGCTCATAGGAGAGCTCGTAGCTCGATTCATGCCGAGTCAGGGCTGCATGTATGGTTCTTGAACTCACCTGATGGTGTTTGTAACATGTACAATCCTCCTAGCTGAATAACGAGGGAGGTGTTGCTCAAAAAATAATATGCTGTTCTGCACCAATCAAAAGCATGCTGTAGCTTTTTTCCATTCTTATTTTTCTTTGATTTAGTAATACTCCGTATAACTTGTTTCCCTAAATTAGAACCTTTTAGCGGGAAGGCTCTGATAATAAAGAAACTTACTTTCAAGATAGACCGTACATTTAACTTTTGCTTCTTTATCCTCAACAAAAATATTTATATGCGTGATGAGATAAAAAAAAGGTTTCAAAAAGACGGCAAAAGCACACAAAGGCACAGATCAATCTGCTTATTTACTCTCTTCTTCCGTGAACAAATGCCAATTTAGGAATTGACTTGTGTTGAATATAAAACTCACTATTCTTATATGTAAATTTGTGAAATTATTATTCTTATTTGTAAATTTTCGATCAAAAGTTTCCTCTCAACAAGAGTCGCAAAAAAAGAAGTTTCCTCTCAACAAAATGTTAACAGTTTGTATTCAGTACACGTATTTATAGGGAGGAAGCTGGCGTAGCTACACATAAAGCCATTGTGCCACGTGCCATGGTGTTGGCGACATGATCAATTTCGCCATATCATAATTTTATTTCATCCTCCACCAATGACAGAGGTACACCTCAGAATAGGGAGAAAGAAGTTGGGAGAGGAAGGAGAAGGGGAAGTAGAGGAGGCGGCATCCGTGCATGAGCTTGTTTTTGGGCATTATTGCTGCCACTCGCTATAGATGGCGGCGGCAGTGGTCGCCCATGCTGAGGAAAGCAACGTGGAGCGGTGTGCAGAACAAGACAAAGACCGTCTTACATAAATATCCTACAGCACCACTTGAAAAATTCATCTTAGACCTTGTTTAAATTCAGGGTGTAAAGTTTTGGAGTGTCACATCGAGTATCACATGAGGGCGTCGTATGGGGTGTTTGGATACTAATAAAAAACAAATTACAGAATCCGTCAGTAAACCACGAGACAAATTTATTAAGCCTAATTAATCCATCATTAGCACATGTGTTACTGTAACACCACATGTCAAATCATTGACTAATTAGGCTTAAAAGATTTGTCTCGCAAATTAGTCGTAAACTACGTAATTAGTTATTTTTTTAGTCTATATTTAATACTCCATGCATGTGTCCCAACATTCGATGGGATAGGGTGTAAACCTTTGGGGGAGAAACTAAACAAGGCCTAGAGATTGTTGAATTCATGTGGTGCAAGTTGTCCAACAAAAACAGGAAAATTTGAGACCGAAAATTCTTTAACTAAACTTGTATAGGAAGCTACAATATTATTGTAAACTTACTCTGCCAATCATATGCACTGAAAGTTCCATTTGCTTCATGTGCAAGTTTTATGTAAGAGTGTATATATAAAAAAATAAAGCTTGAACCAAACAAAAAAACAATTATAGGACTGTGTATGCTATAAAAGAATAAGGCATTACTAGGATAACATTGCCTTTATTTTTGTTCTCTTTCACGTCCATTTAATTTTTGCGTGAATTGTAACTCAGTCTCATACCATGCGTGGTTAACAAAACATATATCACATTTGGTTGTTTGATTTGTCTATCACTAAATGTTGTCACAGCATGATCATATCTCGTCGCATTCAGTCTTCAGCCTAGATATAAGATGAGGATGAATGATTGACTCGACCTGTCACACATCTAGTGGCCCACATGAAAATTACAAAGCGATTTACTTTGTGGGCTGTAACTTTTGCTGAAGTGGGCCGTATATTTTACTCTTTTGACCAAACAAAAAAACTAGTGAAGTATTCTTCTGTGACTGCAGTGGTTTGTGCAAAGCGTGTTAATTAGGTCTTCTTTAACTAGATAATACCCCGCGCATTGCTGCGGGATTTTGAGAAGGATTCATTGATTGAGAAATAGTAAAATCAAAAAGAAAATATGTATATTTGATCAAATATATTGGATTTTATGAAAAGTCATAAAAACAGTTGAATACCCTTGTGCTGAAGTAGCGCATATTTACATACACCACAACTATCTGCTGAAGTAGCGCATATTTACATATACCACAACTATCTGCTGAAGTAGCGCATATTTACATATACCACAACTATCTTACTATGTACACACACATTGGTAATGGATAGAAAAAACGCTA